AATGGTGTTCGGAGATTGATCTTCTGATCAGGCTCACAATGTTGGTCCTGCATGCTGGTGTCTTCTCGATCTGATTGATGTGAAAGCGTTGAAAACTTTCACATAGAAGATCATCAAAGAATGACTGGAAAAACACTCGAGGCAATTAAGTTTCTGAAGACCGATCTTCTGCTCCGGCTATTAGACCAGCTTAAACTCCCTTACACGACTTCTTACATAGAAATTAAGTCCATTGAAGATGCCTTTCAAGCTATCAAATTGATGCAAGTCAGGGGTGCCCCTGCAATTGCAATTACGGGGGCATTTGCCATCACAGTAGACACTGCTAATCAAATTAAGTCGGAGACAAACAAAACCATAAAGAATTTGGTCGCGGACATTGACTACTTAATTACCTCAAGACCTACTGCAGTCAACTTATCGAATGCATGCAACGAGATCAAGACCATGTTAACGCTGACCTTTGCGGAACTGAATACTTTGGATCAAAAAATTCTCGACGCCCTTTTTAAATATTCTGTGAAGTTGCATGAAGATGATTTACGAAACAACTACAAGATCGGCGAAAATGGTGTGAACTATATCGTCGAAACCTTAAGAAACCAGAAATTCACGGGTCCTTTTTCTATCATGACCATTTGTAACACAGGGTCATTAGCTACTTCAGGACATGGAACTGCTTTGGGAATCATTCGCTCCGTATACAGCGCGCTTTCTAGAGGAAATAGCAGCGAAGAGTTCTGGTTCGAGCATGCTTACCCTTTAGAAACTAGGCCATATAATCAGGGAGCCAAGCTTACCACCTATGAATTGCAATACGAACAAATACCATTCACTCTCGTCTGCGACAACATGGCTACTTCTTTGATTTCTTTATTGAAGAATGGAAAATCGGTGAAAGGCTCTATGGCACCTGTGAAATTTATCATCGCGGGAGCAGACAGAATAGTCAAGAATGGAGACTCGGCCAATAAAATCGGTACATATCAGCTAGCCGCAATTGCCAACCATTTTAACAAAGATCATCCAAAGAATGATCGGGAAAAAATTAAATTCATTATCGCAGCGCCCAATACCAATCGATCACCATACCCCAAATGGGGACGGCATTGTTATAGAAGAGCGGCCTAATAACGAACTTACAACCTTGAAAGGACCTTCTTTAGATGCACAGGGTAATGTTGGGGAAAAATTTACCATAGGCGTCGCAACACCAGGTATCGAGGTCTGGAATCCTGCCTTTGATGTAACACCTTGTGAGTTGATCGATAGCATCGTCACAGAAGATTGTGCTATCAAGAAAATAGATGGTCAATTTGTGCTTTAGTTGTTTACATTATTATTTGAATTGATTTTTGTGATTAGCCATTCGTGTTATCTTTTCTTTCGTCTGGAGATGCATTATCCGCCAGAACCTCTGTTTCAATACTGAGCGGCTCGTGATTGAGCTTTGTGTCGCTTTCCGAGCCGTTAGAATTTTTGGCGCCTGAATCCGCACTTTCATCATTTATTCTTTCAACTTCAGGTTTGGGACTTGTTTCTGCATTTTGTCTCATTTTTTCCTCCATTTTAGTATCTTCAATTGTTGGTAGAGAGTTTACGTTCTCCCATATCACCTGCCCTGAATTTCCGTATCCTTGAATTTCTCCAAGCTTGACCCTAAAGAAATCAACATCTTTGAGTATTGAGTGCTTTTCGTTAAAATCTTTAAGCTGTGGTAATTCTGCGCAAAAACAGTTTACAAGTATTTTCTTGTAATTGTCAAAAATCTGCAGCATGATTAGTTGACAGTCAACCAGACTCAAGTACTTTCCAATGACTTTCGATACAGTCAAGGTCTCTTTTACCAAAGTTTCCATGTAGGGCCGGCATTGTTGTGAACGGTCTCCTGATTTTGAAAGATCTAATGATTTTATAGCGTTACAATGCGACAACGTACGATCGTGCATTATGGAGACCAACTTGTTGACCAACTCATTCTTATGATCTTCAAAGTGTTTTATCGAAGTAGCAAATGTGGATTGGTCCAGTCCATCTTGAATTTTTTCTTGTTTCTCTGCAATGAGCTTGAAGATTTCGTCGATAGCCTCCGAATAAACTCTTAAAAAGTCAACAGTTTGGATACACAAGGCAAGATGCTTTGTCGTTATATGTTTGAGACCAGCTGTTCTCGTTGCACCCGCATTTAAGATAGCCAATGACACTCTCGAATTTAAAACCTTTAAGTAATTAAGCAAGTTTTGCATTATACTTGAGGCCTTGGGACCAAACATTTTGGAAAGTATGACGTAATCACCAGTAGTTTCAACAACGTTGGTGATGAGTTGAGGAACATAATATGAGTTCTCTTTCACCCTAATTTTTGTAATAGAGCTTTGCAGAGTGGGTTTTTTCGACAGTGAAGACCCCGATGAAGTTTCATCTTCATATATATCTAGCATCTTTTTGGTCCATTCAGTTCCGTCGAAGCCTTCACCTGTTCTCACAAACTCTGAATATGATATAACCTTGTCTACAACTTCTTGGGAGTTGACAAGCTCGGGACCTGTAAATTCTTTCCATGTTTCTTTATCACAGATACTTGCTAATTGCTTGACAGAATTGGAATGAAAACGGTGAATGAAATAGCCCACGTGATTTTTGATCCACTCGTTTAATGATCGACCAAGTTCGGACATATTAAAACCGGGATTAATAGATTCACATTCCAGGAGATAAGTCGAGGATATCAGAAACAATGACAAATACTCATCAATAGGTAAATCTCCAAGCTGTTCCAGTCTCACATTCAAAACTTTAACCAATCTCACTTGTGTGATTTCAATGGCTTTATTTATGGAATCAGTGATATCTAAAGACATCACGTCAACATCTTCAGATTTGTTGATGGGAAGGGATGTCAAAGACAAGTCCAACAAGAGTTTTTGATGAATTGTCAAGCGCCTTAGGCATTCTGATAAATGCGAATATATGGCTTTGATCATCCGACTAAAGGCTGAATTGCTTAACGTCTTGATATTTTCCGACAAGGTTCCTCTCTGGACATCTGACCCTCTTACACTTTGTTTGGTTTCTTGTGAAAGCGAAATATCAGCCTCAGAGTTATTGGATGAGGCCGAAGCTTCCATGGCAAACTGGGATCTGTTATTAAATAACGGATTGTTCTCTGTTGGCAATCCGTGTCTAATGATGGCTTTAACTTCACTAACGATTCTAGCCCGGTACTCGGCAAATGCTTCAACTAAACATCCTGATTTGATCAAGTTTTGTATAAATAGGTGAAGCGCTTTCTTCGTTTCAGCTTCTATTTTCATGAAGGACATGTTTGTAGACGGTTGATTGTATTCTCTTGCTCTGTAGCTTGTGGCATACATTCTGTTGATGGTTTCTTTTGGGGAAACAGACTTGTAATGAGTGCGCAAGTCTTCGACAAGCAAGCTTAAAAATTCATCAATGTAGCCCCTGCTACAAGCATGCTTTAATTCACGCAAAGTCAATATGCTACTTCTTAAAGCAGGAAGGCCTCTCAATTTTATCAAGGGATACTTATAGCTTGTATGGGGGGACATTGTTTCACCTTCAAAATGGTTTTCGTACTCTATCCCATCGATCAAGTTCTCGGTTCGAGTGATTGTTTCAAGACACTCAATGTTATTTTTTTCTGTGAAACATTTTTTTGCTTTATCAATTTCTTTCAAGACTGCCTTTAGTTGGAGAAGAGATGTTTCAAGATGGTTAACACTTCTAGATTCATCCAATGTGTTCAAGACTTCAAGACCAGCTTTCGATTGAGAGTTTTCGAGAAGATTGAGTTTAAGTTTGATAGTTTCAAGCTTTTGAACACACGCTTTGGATTGAGTTTTGATGGACTTTATATCGCCAAGGGTAGTAAAGAACGAATCAGATGTTTTTGATATCTCTGAAATCAATTGCATTTCCACATAGTCCAAATACTTCAACAAGTTCTCCTGTACCTCTGTGTTATGCACTAGTTGAGTCGTATCCGGAAATTCGGAGTCCTGCAAGATCTTGGATTGCTGCATCACTCTACGAAAAATCCTAGGGTCGTCAAGACGAAAGTGTGGATCTTCAAAGATCTCGGGAATTTCAAGGCTTTCATTGTCATCTGTAGTTCCCGCTTGCGAAATCGATTTATCGATGTTTTTGTACAGCTCGGAAAAAGTCGATAGAATATCAGCTGTGAGTGGATTATAACTCAGTTCGAACGATCCGTACTCTTCGCTCACGCCATCGATGAGTTGTCTCGTAAAAACATCAAAGGCGACTTTTTCTTTGAGCGGCTGAAGTTTAATGGGAGGTATATCCTTTGTTGATGGTTTAATAAGATTGTACACAGTTTGCGTTCCTCCATTGACAGTTACTTGAGATCGCAACGCCTTGTTCAGCTTTACTCTGGCAGCGTCTAGGGCTTGGGTTAAGTCGAAGATGGAGTTGGGCCCTAGTATGGACGACGAATTAAATGAAGGCTCATCTTCTTGGCCTGTGCCTTGCTTAAGAATGTTGAAATAATTGATATAGCCAGGGTTCCCGTCTATGCTTGTTCGTAGGCTTGAGAAGATCGATTCGGACTGTTTCTGTCGTGAATCGCCAGAAAATTCCGATTCGAGTGCTATGTCATCATTTATATTTATATCCGTATCCTCAGAAAGCCCATCGAGGCTTTGACGTGCCATCTCTGTATCCATGTTGTCGAAACACCTGGACGATTGAATTCGAACCATTAACTGTCGCGATCACTGTTGTGAGTGGGGTGCGACATGCAGGCGAGTATGCCTGCTTTGTGGTCTGAAGCCGTACAATTTAGGACTCTTGAATATATGACTTACTTGTTATTAAAAAATTAAAGTCTTGTCTATTAAAATGCTTTTTAGAAATACCTCGAGCAAGAAATATGTTGCAACTCCGAAATATGGAATTAATGTGTCAATTTGGAATGTTATAATTTTTGCTCTTCCGCGATAACATTCTCAAATCATCATCTTCTTCTTAACTAATCGGATCATAAATCTTTTAATTCCACACTAAAGAACTTAAAACAGGTCCCATTTTGTAGTTGGATACAATAGATATTCAAGTTTATACTGGCGTGATACATGAGGTTTAGACAAGAAGCAAAAATAACCCACTTCTAACTTTCAACAGACAAATTAATATCCATAACCATCTAACACGTAAGGGAGGAAGTAGGTCACTAAATGCAAATATTCAGACAAGTATAAAAAAATACTTTCAGGCTTCAATTTTGCATCTGGCTCATATGTGCATGAGAAAGTTGGGAGGTAAGGCAAACTCTAGACGAGCACAATATTTGAGTTTTGCCATCGTTCCTGCAGAACCACGTACCATTACTCAGACTTAAAGGCGTAGTTACGAACACCTAGCCTTAATTCTTCTAGCGTCAGAAAAATGTCCGAACAAGCTCAAACAAACAAATCTGAAACTTCCAACAAACCAAAGCCATGCTGTGTGTGCCTTGATGAGAAGAAGGCCCGTGATGAGTGTCTTTTATTTAGCGGTGAAGAAGATGGAAAATGTCAAGAGTTCATTGACAAGTACAAAATTTGCATGAAAGGCTTCGGCTTCAAGACCAACTAAAACAAATCATTTTGCCTGAGAGCCTCTGTGTGGCAAGAGACCGAAGCCAACTGCACGTACTTGTAGATATCATACTCAAAGAATCTAGGAACAGAGGCTAATTCGGAATGTATCATGTAAATAGAGATAAAAATGAATTTTGTTTAAACATTATGATATAGACATATATTTTTGCCTTGCCCGATCCCCGCTGGTTCTTCCCAAGACCAGAGTCAGCCCATCCATGGGTGATGTGACAAGAGAGTTTCGCTCGTTGTCAAATTTATGGTTCAGTTCGTGTATCTCCTTCTTTTGAATAATGTTGTCAACTAAAATCAATTGTAAACAATTCATGAACACTGGAACAACAAACATTACAACAAATATTTCAAACTCGTTAGGGTATTCATCTAGCCATGATAAGATGATATGGCTAGTGATCCACAAAAGCTGGGTCTCAAAGCATTCCACTAAGCCATACAATGCAAGTTTAGTTATCATAAGAGATCCAAAATAGAGTGCTAATTGCTTCAAGAAAGCCTTGAAAGACGGGCGATGCACGTCCGGGCCGTATTCTCCACTCTCAATTTGTGTAATACCGAGGTAGTCCTTACAGAGAAGACTCACAAATAGAAGCACTAGATATAGAATGTATACACCAATAGTGCAATCTAGAACAATGCTCAAGAAGTACCAATCACATGGGTCTCCAGTGCATTCATTGCTTTCATCGCATACCCCACGTGCGCTCTTCGAGAAAACTTGACTAGGCAGCGATTTCAAGATGGATAGTATAAGATTAAAAACATGAACGCCAAAGGACCCCACAACTTGCTTAGATACATCGTAAAACCAAACCTGCCACGTCCGGCGGACAGGGTTTTCGTAAAATCGCTTTATAATGAGGGACAGCAAGCATAGTAGCCCCAAGAACGCTTGCGTTAAGAGTGAAAATGTGCCCACCAACTCACATTTTCCATCGCTATCGCTGTTTTCCAGGGAAGTGTATGTACTTATAGTCGGTAGAGAATATGAAAATAGAGATAATACCGCCACGCGAGCGAAGTCTTTCAACATATTTTGAGAATCTCGAAAATCAATCGTCGCTTTTGAGTTTTGGCACAAGTCGTGAGAGGCACTGGTGTCTAGTCAGACAAAAGATTCAAGACATGGTATAACAGATTGCGAAACGAAGGTATATTTTCATCACCATCTGATTTGGAATTTTCTACTCTATGAAAAAAATGTGGAAATGAGATGAAATAAATTTGATAACATTCTTGCTGTTAAAATAGAGCGCCTGCTCCATCTATAGACATTTAAATGCGATGTACTATTAAATGCGATGTACTAAGTTTCTTTTAGCCCAGATTACCTTTATTCCAACTCCCCAAGAAGTTCGTCATTGTCAGACTTTTTTTACCTTTTTGACTGTCATCTCCCTCTGGACTTGGTACAGTAATACCATTTTTTCCTGCGACCTCATATAATGACAGATAACTCGTACGGCTGAGGCCGTTATCAGCCGCAGCAGGTGTTTCAACATTTTCTAAATCTTCATCAGTATCACTCTCTGAATCAAATATGAAAGACTTCTTCACCGACCGCGCATCCTTTTTGCTTCCCAGAAAGACGCACGCAGATGTTGTATGGGGAGGAAGAGCAGTGGCTTTTGCTTGCACTGGTGGTGACTGATTTCCCGAGAATGATGTTTGTGTGTGTGGTGTTCGAGGTGCAGAATTTTCAGCGTTCAAGTTAAAAAAAGAACGGCATAGTGAACTGGTGTCATCGACATTGGTCATAGTATCTCCGAAAAATTGCCCCGAAAGAGAGTTTGACGAATGTGGCTGCTTGGAGAGAGCCGATGACGAATAGTTCGGGTTAATTGATGTTATATGCTTCGCATCAGGTTCTGGGTCCTCAATCACGCGCTGAGGATAGTGCAGTTCTTCCAGGTTGTTGGAGGTCAAAGGTAGTCCGAAAACCAGTTGAGCCAACGATTGGCTCGAATTTTTTGCACTGATCGAAATGCATCCTTCGTCATCTGAATCAGAACTATCTTCACTTGACAGAGATTCAAGTGAAAGGTTTCTTTGAACTTTGCTCTTGGTGGCAGAATCATCTAAACACGATATTGGCAATCTTTCTTTATGATCCTCATCCACCAATATGGGCAGCTGAATAATGTTTGCAATGAATTCTGGGTTACTGGTAGTGATGCCGCCCAAGTCCTCATTCTCAATGATTTCGTAATCAAAGTTTGATCCCACTGTTATGTTCTCAGGAACATCAACAACATCTGGCACTTTGCTTTTAGAATTATCCCCATAAACGGCATGATTTGCATCTACTTGATAGACCGTATTATAATCATAATAGTAGTCATATCCTCTGCTGGAGTTGCTGTCCACGTTATGCGAGATGCTTGATGTATAGGGGTTACTGTCATCACTATCTTCATCATAAGAGCCATAGTTCAACGTCGTGGGAGGCAATAAATGAATTGTTTTAATAGATTTGGAATTTGTAGTGGATGGGGTTTCAGAGCATTCATCGGCATAATTAGAGGCCAGCTTGTCGCTAAGTTGAGATGATAACCCCGGAAGCCTTCCTGCTAATTGTGCAGAAGATGGCGAGCGAACATTGAGGAAAAATCCACCCTCATCGTCGTCATCATCATCGTCATCATCGTCATCTTCATGATAATCATCTGCATGGTCAATACCTTCAGAATTATAACCATCGTATGAGTAGTTCTCTTCCTCTTCGTAGTCATAGTCATTTGTATCATCATCGTAGTCGTCATAGTCATTGTCACCGAGATGTGGATCGTCAATCGCGATACATTGTTGGACTTCGTCATTGAAATGAATGTGACGTTTTTCTTTCACCGGCAGTCGAGATGAGTCTTTTTGGAGCAAGCTCGAATGCGTAATTACACTCGTACCTCCTGAATGGAGCTGGTCACTGATATTGGGTGGTTTAGAAACAGCCTTTGACTCAGTAGGTGAAGACTTTTGGCCTTCGGATAAATCCAAGGAACTGTTATTCGTCGAGTCTGAGCCGGACGCAGTTTTGTATTGCGAATTGAGTTTTGCTGAGATCACATCATAGTCAAAGTACTCAGGAGGCTTTTCTGAACCAGATTTCTCCGACGCGTCTCTTCTTGCTTGCGCAGCAGCATCCTCCCGTCGGGTCTGCTCCTGCTCTGCTCTGGCAGTTGCAATCTCCAATTTTAATAGATTCAGATGGCTGATCATAATGTCCTCCATTGTTCTTCTCTTTAAAATTGGCTTAGGTCCGTGGGTCTTTCTTGCTATGGAAATGTCACCAGCTACCACGCTGCTTGCTGTGCTGAAAGAACGAGAATCCTCGGGCGCAGGAGTATGGTCATGATCATGATCATCATCATCTACGATGGGACCATAAAGCCACGTCACGTCACTTTCTTTTGACCAGTTTACTTCTTCAGGACTAATGGTTTTTAAGTTGGAGCGTCTTTGCGCCCAAGTTCTCCAGCTTGCATTCTCCAATCGTGCTGCATTTGCAACGTTCTTTCTCCTCAGAATAACATATCGCCACGATTTAGAAATATCAGACACATCCCACTTATGTGACAAGTAGTCGACATGGCGCGAAGGCTCTACTACTAAATCAGAATCATCATGTGGGAGGATGTCTGGGCTAGTGAGGAAAGCAGGGTGTGCAGTGAGGACAGGAGAAGACGAATCATCGACAGGGTTGGCCTGTGAGGAAACGACTTCATCATTTGAACTGCTGTTATTGCTCGTGGGGTGATTTTCCGACTTTTCGTTTTCCCTCTCCGCATTTTGTTTCTCTATGTTATTTTGCTGTTGTTCTGAGTCAATAAACTCATCGAGCAACCCAAGTGAACGGGTCCTTTTCAACTTGAAGGTTGTATTTTGGAAGTGGTCATCGTCATCTGCATCGACATGTTGAGATGTGGTTGCGCCCCCACAAAATATTTCACCTGAATTGGATGCCATCTTGATGGTCGGGAAAGTGCTGATTGGACAATAAATGTGTAGTGTACTCTTTTGGCGAAAGGATTGTTGTTATTTCGTGCCCCGAAAGAATCGAGAGTAAGGGTTACGATCTGTTCACTTTTATTATTCACTTGTAATAGGATCTGTGAATCCTAAGAGAAAAAAAAAAAAGAAAACAACAACGCCAAAACAACACAAGCTTCTTAGGCTTGTTACCAAATCAAAATTCAAGGCACGTTCTAATGACACAAAATGGTGATGTATCAAGGTGTTCTTTCGTTGTCGGGGAAACAGGAACTATACCACAGACTTAAGGCTAAAGCAACTTGGGTGAATCAGATGGAAAAGTTGACCCTTGTGAATATCAGCAAAAGAAATCCAGGATGACAATAATCCGATCTTAAATGACAAAGCTTTTCTTGAGTGTGCTTTGTGGCCAGCTAGAAGTCTGAAAGTGGAGCTCTAAGGGAAATTTAGTGAGTTGAATGGATGGGACCGGCCTGCCGTGGTGCACACCCGTACACCATGTATATACGCTGACGGATTTGGAAGTCCAATTGAGAGGTTCGTGTAAACACGAGTTGTGATGAAAAAGGAAGAACTATTTTCCCCAGGCCAATTAAGTCTGGAACTACGCTTAGGGATCAAAATTCTAGCTGCTAACTGCTGGTGCTGAGATTTCTAATGAGGGCTCAGTATTTGGTTGCTGTAGGGGGTATGCAAACGCCGCTCCACTACTGAAATTGGCTGACTCCGGTCCATGTCACGTGTGCCACCATATCTCACAAATATTCAGGGCGAACACCCAAATTGTGGGGAACATGACTCGGTAAGAATTACGGCGCGCGAATGTTCCTTGATATGAGTCGTTCCACCAATCTCTGTTTTGGTGAATATGAAGAATATGCCTTCTTACAACAACACAAAATTTGAATAAAAATCCACTCATGCGTACGTAGGAATTTTTTTTTTGGAGGTGAAGAATATGGAAAAGCTGAATGTCTATTTGTGATCGATTTGGTAGTTGACGGGCGTGTGCGAAAAGGAGTGCCCCATTCCGCGTTTTCCCGGGACAGAAAGTATAATACACCCTGCGCGCCTGAAGGTATCTTTGGCCACCGGTTCTTTCCACTGACAAAAACACCAACTATCACTTGAAATGGATATTCTGGAACATTAAAATTCTTTCATGGTGAAAAAATGATTTCGCCCAGGATCGAACTGGGGACGTTCTGCGTGTTAAGCAGATGCCATAACCAACTAGACCACGAAACCATCTGTGGGATTATGCACTCTTAGTTTATTTAAATGTGTCAACCCGATTCAGTCACGTGCTAGGTTGTAGCCTTTTGGGCCTTGGCCAACGCTGGAGGACGACGCCTGAATCGATAAGGCTTGCAACTAAACTGTTTGTTTTTTCACATATATATTATTTATATAGTTTTGCCGCTTTAATCAGATGAATCTACCAAAGAAAAAAGCTTCGTAGTATCGTGGAAAATAAAGAGCGGTGTATGAAAATTCTAAAATCAGTCGAGAATTTATTGAAATGTATTCTAAACTTTCTTGTCTAAATTTATTCGATACAAGGCACGGCGTACGAGCTGACGTGAATTAAAGTAAACGTTGTCAAAATTGCACAATCGTCGTGATCTTTTTATAGCCCAATTAGTATCTCAAGATAGTCTGAGGTCAGAATGTCTTCTTTGGAACAATTGGCAATTGACAATATGAAGGGTAGATTTTATCTATTTTAAACATTATCCAAAAGACAGTGGAGAAGGCAAATCCTCACCTATTTCACTATACATCATCTGACACAGACAAAAACATGTATATGTCTATCCATGACCCCCTGGAGCACGAAAGACCCAGATCATACTAAAGTAGCCTCGGACATTCCTTGCCCGTAGTGCGGTTCTTTTGACACTTGTCTTCATATCTTTTGTTTTGAAGAAACAAATGTATTGAAGGATACCGCTGGCCTGGAGGGGCCAAAATTGAAAACCTTAATACACTCCCATATATGGATCATTCGATCTTTTCACGAACGTTTGAGGAAATTTATACTGTTTCCAAACTTTGAGTGCGATTTATATCCTACATTGAAAAAACTTGACGACAAAATACACTTGCCCTCAAGGAATTGGGGAAAATCGAGCAGAGCTTTGATGCAAAATATGTCATCTTTTGGCAAACAATCAAGAGAATATCCTCCTGTCACCTCACGAGATCCGTGATTCTAAAATTTGGCATTTATTCTTCAAGTATATGCGAACTCTTCGCTCATTTATATTATCAGCAGTATCAATATTGCTCAACAAACCATCCCAAATCATTAGTTTTTCTTTCGATGATATCCTGAAAATAATCGTAAGGATCTTTTCTGGTTAAAGTTAATTTGGGATAGTCGTGGACAGTCTCTGCAGCAGACCTATCGATGTCCGAGTCAAACATATCATGACATTTCGCAGCGTCGTGCACAATCTTAAATTCGTCTTCTATCCAGCTTGACTTGCATTCATTTGATAAAGCGCGGGTCCCCAGAGAATTTGGATTGAGAACACATCCCCTAGAATCCTCTGTGTCAGGAATCCAAAGCTTAAGCTGCTTGTCGTAATGGTGGCCATTAAACAGAAGTCTTGAGGTGAATGAGTCCGATCCATACTTGCGCAGTAATATTGACAGAATATTGTTAGGGATATAGACAGGCGAGTCTTCGAAGTACGTAAGTCTGATTGGTAAAATTTCATCAAGAATGTGCCAGTTCCAGTTTTTGCAATGTACTGGAATGGCTCTCATTTTTTCTTCATCAGAAAGCGATGATAATAAAGATTGGGGAGGCTGGTCACCAGTGTGTGCCAACACACTGATATCAATATAGAGACCCGTGTTGATTTCGATGAATCTAGCATCGATGAAATTACGACCATTGCCTTGTCGGGTATATGTGGGAGAAACCTCGAAAAGGTATTTGGCGTTTCCGTATCTAGGATTTTCGGTGATTATTGTGGAGTTGAACCTTCTCGAAAGTTTGTCCAATTGGGCAATGGGGATTTGGATATCAACGTCAGTATCCCAAGGCAAGTTTACACCGTTATAAGCCCACCCAAGAAGTGAACCATAATTTACCCATGTGTTCACGCCACTCGTCTCAGAAAACTGGAACCATGCTCTAACCATATGCTGGATAACACTTTGACGTTCCTTGCTGGAAATGAAGCGTTTGAAAAAAGGGAAGGAAGTGTGATGCGAGCGTCCGGCAACGATATCTGAGTATATCCAGGGGTACTTGAAGAAGCGGTCAGCCAGATCAACCATCAAATTTGAGGCCTCAAGAAACTTTAAGTGCTCTTTATCTTCCACCAGAATTTCTCGAATTGCAGAAGCTTCCTTTAAAGATAAGATTTCTTTGTCGATGTCGAAATTGAAATCTTGCGGACTTATGTCAATAGATTTGCGAACAGGTTGATATTTAAGAAACTTGATAGTCTTGGAGAATTTTTCTTCAGCATCTAGTAGTGCTGTTGAATTAGCCATCTCGACCAACTTGTCTTTCGTGTGAGTGGATGCAAAGAGTTGCTCACCCAATCTTCTCTTGCCCGTGACAGGAAGTTCGAAATATCCCGTATCAGTTGCAACAAGTATGCGTTTTGGAATGTCTTTGACACAGTAGAGGTTGGTCATGGCGCGATTGACTTTGGTGTCGTAAGACTCCATGAAGTAGGGGTTTACCTGTGAAAATTTGCATAGGCCCAGTTCACACGCGCCATCAGGGTTATATTCTCTTGCTTTTTCCAAGTATGAGTTACCTGGAGACAAGTTTACCCAGTCATCCCAGTGAAAATAGATACCATTTTGATTGTCTAATAGGGAGGTTCGTTGAAGCGCTCTTCCCCCAAGAGACGACGATGTGGATTTTGACTGAATATACGAAAAGAGTTCGTATGTGATGGCTCGCGGATCAAATTTGGATTTTGCTTGCAATTCTATAGATATGTCATCGAGTAGGTTGTCTGATATGTCTTTGAAGAGTGAGTTGATGAAAGAAAGTAGGAAGCATAACAAAATCAACACAACAACCGCGATCCTCTTTTGATAAAACTTCGTGAATGACATGCCAAATCAGCAGTGCTTTGGTCAAAAGATTGTGAGCGGAGGACCTTGAAATATGAAATTGACGAAATGCAATAGCAGGGGTAGAAGAAGACGACTTGGCGTCACGTCTAAATAGCCAACGCCTGAGAATGCTCTTTTCGCGCAGGCCCAGGGCTGAGCAGCCGTGGCTCCGGTAGAAGATTGTATCCTGTATATGACAGTTTGCTCTGTTTAAAAAAGATTGGGTGAGCACCACAAGTTGAACTCTTTTCATTGCGGGGCTGTGACTCATCTATCATCACTTTCGGACACTACTTTATTACAACAGAATTTGGTTTAAAAGCTTTGAGAAGCACACTTTTTGGATTTGTGGTGAGCTCACCAATCCTATTCCAGGTTGATACATTCTCTATCTTAGCCTTGCATGTACGGTCCTGTCTATTAGTGAAAATTCTTTCATTATGTACAGACCGGAGTTTGTGTTCTTCCCGCGTTTATGGGGCTTGCATACTTCCGTCAGGCTGTGCATTGGTCCAAGTGCAAGAGGTATTGGGTGAAGATCTGTCGTATGGGTCTTCGTTAAAAAATCTAATCAGCTTCATGTCGAAAAGTGTGCAGAGCACTTTAAAAATACACGTGGATTTTGGTTGTAGCAAAAGAACAAAAATAAGATTTCGAAAAACGCCCCGCGGTCACACGCGAGTACGAGATCAAGGCTTCGCTATTGTTATCTGGAGTTTCTTGTCCGAAATGCAAGTACGCGGGCGTGTTCTAAGATAGATAGGGGCCTCAATCGTTGGATGGTTCACACAGGATTCGTGTGCGGTTCTTCAGACAGGAACCGTTGGGTTCTCCAGACGATCCGTTAAGTATATCCAAACATGTAAGACAAAGAGTAAATGACTAGTCACATCTGTTTCAGAAGCGAATTCCCTTCAATATGTTGTACAGATAAAGCTCGAAGGGACTTTTTTGTCTTCTTGAGTCTTGTCTATCTTTACGAGCTGTACTGAAGATCGCATGTCATAAATTTTTATTATGTTCGCGAATCCATGTCGCGCTCGCAATTGCGTACGCGATGCGCTGAAAGATTCCGAAAATGATGGCTCAGAGGCAACCCCTAGAATATCTGATATGCTACAAATCCTTCCAATATTACACTTATTATTGTCGTTTTTTATTCATAAGACCAGTCATCTAAAAGCCCAGGGAGTTATGGGGGTCAAGTGATATGTAAACCTATGCGGTGCTCAAGTCAAAAAAAAACCATTGATTTTTTTCTGTTATAACTTGTAGTTCTAAATTGATGTAATCTTAGTTTTCCCAGTCTCTTTTAAAGAGCCAGTTTTCCCCAGGGACACTTCTAGACGCTTCTTGGTTCAACAAGGTTTGCAGAAGTCCTGCGAAAGGAGACCCGTTCGGAATGATGGAGCGACGCTTATCAGCCACTATACCCATGGAGCTTCTTCTAAAAGGAGGAACGTATTTCCCAGGCGTCCCGTGGTTAATGTTATCAGTCTTAATCATTGATGCTCTCCGGGAGTCTCCATCGCTCCCGTGGTAATGCGCTTCCTGCGACAAATCCGAGAAAAATGAATGATTATCCTGTACCCGAAATGACAGCCTGCATGACAGGTTCAATTCATTCTTTCTAGGATCATTTTCATGGTAATCATCCTCTAAAACAAACACTTCACCGTCTGTCAATGCCAAGTGATCAATCTCTTCACTTACCTCATCGACTGATAATGGATTCATTCTGCAATGAGGGGATCTCAAGAATGGTGGGACATACTTCCCAGCATTTTTACTTCCCCATTGAGCTGATGCGGGGGAGCATCCATTTGGAAGTGGTGTATGGTGTGGAGGGGAAGATGCCATGTAAGGCGCCTGTGATAAGGGGTTTGCAGATGTCGGTCTGGATTGTCTCCGCATCTTTCCTTGGTGATTTCGCTTAGACTGATGGTCATGGCCATTAACATGATTAGCACCATTATTGAAAGGTTGAAAGACTGAGCCTCTTTTTTTCCATGACTGTTTTTTTCTTCCTGAATTCCATACCTTTTTCTTTTTTTCATACGCACGATGCAGATCACTGATCTCTTTCTGCTCGCCGTACTTATCCATGTAATGCGAAAACACGCTTCTTGGAGTAAAGAAATCCTCACGCCGGAACCTATTTCCTTGACTGTTACTATGGCTATTGTAACTGCCATGATTCTTCTGTGAAGCAAAAAAAGTGCCATTTTTGTTGTAGGAGGCAACTCCAAATGGTTTTCTCGTGTTTCTAATTTGCAGTGTGCCACCGATCGGTATGGGTTTAGCATTGGTGGTTGGCGAAAGTAAGGCATCTGCGCGTCGATTATGGGGCATAACCTCGTCTTCCCTTGCAGATGTCTCGGTATCAATTGCCAGAGTCAACTCGCTATCCATTGCCTCATCTATTGACAAAGTTATATGTTCCTCTAAGCCATGATCAGGAAGTAGGATCTTGACTTGATCATCTTGAAAGCTGGGCGGATCTCTTACATCCGTAGATGCACTTTGAGATATTTCGGGTTCGAAAGGAAACGTGTCCCTGGATTGAGTCAAGTCTTCCAACAGATTAGGTTCTTCTACTTCATCTTCGTAACCGTTGTCCTCATATTCAGCTTCATTTTCTTCTTCACTGTGTAATGCCCAATACTCCTCGTCAATGGTGAAGTATTTTAAGCTCTTAAGCTCAGCACGAAAACTTTCCAAGTCACGATTCGAAGGGTCCATTGTGAGACAAAAGCGCAAGGAACTAAACATTTCACCAGTCATTGAACTGAAAAAATCGAACAATGCTTCTCTATTGGCAGAAAATTGCAAGAACCGCTTATCAGTATA